GTTCATTGTTTCTGTTCTCTCATTTCGTTGTTTTTTTCACGATGATTATATATCCTAATGCTTATCTTCTTTTCTCATGTTCTCTCCCTATCACAACCCCTATCACGACCCCCTTTATCTTTCCTTACTTCGTCTTCTCTCTCTCTCTCTCTCTCTCTCTCTCTCTCTCTCTCTCTCTCTCTCTCTCTCTCTCTCTCACTCGCTCTCACATACAAATACTACTGTAAATATAATAATTATTTTTTTAAAAGATGGCGATATCCGAGACATCTCTTAAGAATGCCAGAAATGTGATTACCTCATCAGACATACTATTATAGCACTGTAGACCAAATAAAAAAACAAAAAGAAAAAGAAGTGGACGAACTGGCAGCTACAAGAGTGTAATCAGGGATTGAGCATCCTCTCAGAGGTTAGATGTGATACAGTTTGAAGAAGTGACCATGGATAAACAAGAGTGGAGTCATCTGCTTCCTGGCTTGTAAACCTGACGGTACAGAGAGGGAGTAAGGTAGGAAGACAGGAAGCAAGTAAGCAAGTAGGCAAGCAAGCAAACAAGCAAGCTAGCAGGCAAATAAGTGAGTGAGTGAGTGAGTGAGTGAGTGAGTGAGTGAGTGAGTGAGTGAGTGAGTGATTGAGTGAGTGAGTGAGTGAGTGAGTGAGTGAGTGAAAAGCAGGGACGGTTCGCCCATATTGTACGGTCGTGCAGTGCCGCCCAACACAATTTTAACGTTCTATTGCATAAAACACCCACAAACATTACATAAAAGAAGTCAGAAACAAACACTAGCCAAATATTTTATAAGTACAAGGTCCTCACTGGTACCTTAACGGCCATTATTGTGTCTCCAGCGCCGTAAAACATCTACTATGTCATGTCAAAGTCCACGCGCTTTAACTAAACATTATAAAGATGTTCAGCAGAGTGGTAATCTGACCTATAAATCGCTATAGTATGCGTCAAGACGCAGTGGAATCAGGCACTCGTCAATTTTTGGGCATGTGCAATTATTGGTATCACCACAAAGTTTGTTCATTTGCACTGCTTTTGATGACAAAAATGCCCATCTATCTTGAACAGAAGTTGGGATAGTTACAATCAAACAAGGTGGAAATACCTTGATTTCTGAGGTAAAATTATCGAGAAAATGGATGCCAAAGTTTGGTGACTTTCATAGCCTGATAGTCCTTGGTAAGTGAAAATTGACATTTTTTTGTGCCTTTAATCAACGGTTTTCAGTTGGTTTTTTTAAATTTTAAAATCTACACAGAAATGTCTTTTTAAAAGGATGTTGAAGGTGTTGATTCAAAAAACAAAAATTCGATGAAAATTTCCCAAAAAGGAGTAAAACTGCCTGTTACTTTGATTTTATTATTTTGTCGAGCGCCTGATTTCATCAGAATGCCTCACATATTTAGGCTAACCCAAGCGATGACGACGCTCGTAGCGAATTTAGCGGTACATTAATATTAACAAGACGGCACATCTCAAAATGTGTTCCTGCCGAATAGTACCGAAACATAGCCCATAGTAAACAGTCTAAAAGTAAATGCAATATCAGACTTACACTATTGTATGCCTATTTGAGCCCCGGAGCAATCCAGCGGAGTGCTCAAGTGAATTGCAATTGGTCCATTGTCTTGCCACTATGCTGTCTGTCGTCTATTGAGATGTGCCTTTGAATGGTGTGTAGTAGATTGGTGAAAGTGAGCTATTAAAATTATACACCATCCCATTTACTAGCCCTTGACTATCTTAAATCTGCGTTATCTTATTTGTGCGTGCCCAATTTTTTGCCCCATGAGCCGCCCCTGGTGAAAAGCACTGTTCGGGTCAGCTTGGCGATGGGTTGACGCTTTCAAAACGTAGTGGACACGTTTCCGATCAGCAGCAGACCAAAGGCAGCGTTGCGCCACTTTCCGTACCATCACACACGATCCACAGTCATAAATTTGCATAATTATTTCACATTATGTATACTGATATCTGTCATTTTACGTTTCAGGTTTTAAAAAAAACTGAATTGATTGAAATATCTGAACGAAAAACGAAGTTCTGTTATTTTTGAAAGTCCAAGCCAAAAAAAACAGCCGATCTTCAGACTCTTTCAATGGACCAGAATGTTAGTCCTCAATGACTTAAGTTAAAACGCCAGCCTGGTAATCAGGAAGTCCCAGGCTTCACCCACTCAAGGCAATCCCCGTGTGTGTGTGTGTGTGTGTGTGTGTGTGT